CTCCTGGAAACCACACATCTCCCAAATCTCCTGCCGTACTATATCCACCCTGAAACAGTTTAACCATCTAAGTTCAAAACCCGTCAACTCCTGGTCTCCTCTCTTGTTTTCCCCCACTTCGACTATGGCTGCATGGTGTATGGTGGACTCTCGGGAGAACTCGAAGCCAAACTTAAACGTTTAATGAATTGCTCAATCCGCTTTATCTTCGGGATCTCAAGGGATACTCATATTACCCAGTTCTACACCAAGTTGAAGTGGCCCACCAGATCCCGTGCATCCGACCTCTATCCTCCCCCTCACCGAACTGCTGCATTTGATAAATCCTTTTTAATACAAGTTGTCTCCCTCTGGAACTCTATACCTTCAGATATTCGACACGCAAAATCGATATCCTCATTCAAATCTCTCCTCTTCGAACACCTACTCCATTCCAATCCGATTGATCACGAAATGCACTTAAAAACCTAAGCTGTAAAAACCTCAAAGTACACCCAGATACTCTGATTAGTTTGTAATTCATCGATATTTCGTTCACTTAATTACTTTCTTTGTATATTTTACATTTACACGTATTTATATCTTTTCATCATTTATAACTTTATTGTACTCCGAATCAACCTATAAATATTAAATAGTATTTCATGGACACACCAAAATATTGATATATATTCTGTATTTGTGACTTGTTCTAAAGGGACACTAGTCCCAGAATAATAAAATTATTTTCATTTCATTTCATTTAAATGTGTCCATTAGAAAAAAACAAACAATTGAATTAGATTCATTTTCCTAAAAACCAATCAGTGAAATCATTTGAGTACGATTTCTTGGATGAACCAAGAAATGTAAACGGGCAAGTGAACCACCATTAAAATCATCTTATAAAAAACAATATACTGTAACTTTGCTAAAACTGGTCCGATTCAATGATTTTGACAATTTTGTCAGAAATTTAATGACCTTTCAAAATACTAGGCTCCAAAACAGACTCAGAAATGTTTATATCTCTTGAAAACCGATAAGATGTATACGTGGTGAGTTAGCTCCCCAAAACAATTTTCTTTTCTTTATAACTTTTTATTCATGAATTTTCTCGGGGATTCACTAAGTATACAAAAATATTATTTTGCCTTCACATTCTTTAGTTTTCTATTTAGATTTTGATTGGAAACTTTCTCCACAATGGACTGCACACAGTGGTACCAAATGGACATGACACTTCTTCTCTGGATTAAAACTACCAATACACAATCAAGTTTAAACTATCCAGGGCCAGATTTTCTTGTTGTTCAATTGTAGTATGTAGTTGAATTAAATTAAAGTATTGAAAAATATGTACAATAGAGGCTGAATTTGGCTAATCAATAATTTTGGGTTTCACTGAATTGTTATAAAAATTTTGTTGATGTCCACTAAAATAATTTTCCACTTTTTAGAGCACAAAAAGTTATGTTACTAATGGGTATACCAGAAAACTCAGTATTCGCAATTTAGACACTCAATTAAAACTTGGTGGTTAGACATTTTAAAGAAATAACGAATACTGTGAACAGCGGACCAAACCCGAGAATGATAATGCAAAAAAAAAAAAATATTTCTAGTTATGCCGTTGTTGCAGTAACATACAGATGGTTTCGCCAGGCTTGTGTCTTAACCCTCCTGCGTTCGCACAATCATTTCGAACAATTATACTTTCGAGATCTCAGAGTGAATATTAAAGAATTTCGCAATGAATATTTAAGAAGTTCTCTCACAAATTAGTTGGCTGAAAAACAATGTTCATTTTGAACTAGGATAGTGAAATAACAGTAACGATTTTATGTATCCATAATAAATTGGAAAACAAAATATTTATGCTAGACCAAACAAAAATTACAAATTACTATTCTTTTTTTTTCTCTATACAAAAAAGTTTACCTTTGTTATGTGCAATATTGTTATGCAAAATATATTGTTAAATTTCTCATAAAAATAGTTTTTATTTGTAAATTTAAAAAGAAAAATTGTTAATAGTTTTCTAAATGTTATTTTTTAACATGTTTTTTTTCCGATTTTCTTAAATATACATCTCTCTATAGCGGGCAATTTTTGATTCTCCGTGAGTGCCCGCTTCTTGTGAAGAGAAGTTTCATTATAGTAACCAAAACGGGCTAGTATTTTTAGTAATTTTTCTAGGCTAGTAATTTTTCTTCATAAAAACGTTCTTTGTTTTGTTTTCTTATCTTGCTCTGGTTCTGGGAAATGATTAATTTTTAGGGACGGTTTGGCCGAGCGAACTAACGTGCACAGCACTGCGCGTTGCCCGGTAGCCTGATAACCGAAGTTGGAGACAATAAAATAATTATGAGTTCTTTTAACTCTGCCATTAATCTCCCGAACTCATCCCCTGGCCCCCGAAAACTCCCGTGTAACCCAAATGGCGAGGTAGGGGAGAACAAAAAAAAGATTATTTTTTTATTATTATTTGGAAAGTTATACTCAAATATACAATTCAACAAGAAAAACCAACGCTGTTTAGAAAGATGATTAAAATGTTTAAGCACCATACTATATCTGAAAATGGACTCAGTTTGACTTAACTGCAAGACCTGCAAGATTAGAGGGTCTGGTCTTGGCCTTGCGCAAGACTTGCAGGGTCTAGTCTTGGTCTTGGTCTTGCAAAAAAATTGTGGTCTTGGTCTTGGTCTTGCAAAAGTGCAAGACCAAGACCAAGACTGCAAGACCGAGACCAAATTTGGGCAGCACTAATCCTAAGGGTATAAAGTGATCTTCTGTGGTTATATTTTTATTATTATTTGTCAAATATAAGAGAGATATGTTACAATATATATAACCTATAAGTTTTAAATTACGTCATTTGATTCAAATTTCCAAAATCAAATCAGATTTTAGCTGAACTTATTAATTAATCATCACGAATTAATTTATCAGTTTAAGGTCAATACACTGCACATTTTTAGTCCAGTTCAGTTGCATGTCCTTCTGGTAAGTATACCCCACGAATCGAGTGAATTTGTGGGCATCAGTTTTTAAATTGCAATCAATTTAAGTAGTCAGTTGGTATGCTTTTGATTCATTTTCATGTAATCTATCAAATAAGATAATTTTTGGTCGTAAGATTTTTTGTTGAATAGCTTCAACTCTAATTAAAAAATGAAGTCAGTTTTAAAAATATAACGATTAATGTCATCAATCATCTCGCATTCTATTCTAGATTGGCTCCCTGCATATTTTGAGCCCAGTTCCAAGCGTAAGTCTTTTAGTTAATGATGTAGAGATGGTTGACCGTTGATATGATATGAGAAGGAATTAGTCGAGGGTACGGTCAAAAAAAATAATAAAAAAAAATTAAAATATATAAATAATTTTAATTTTTGCCGACGTTTCGAACCACTTTGCAGGTCGTCTTCAGGGCGTTGGATGTGGCACTGCGGGAGGCAGTTGAAACACTGCTTTTTTTGACCGCACCCTCGACTAATTCCTTCTCAAGTCTTTTAGTTAAATTCACTCAACAAATATAGGGGATATGGAGAGGTCAGTTTTTAAATTGCAACCGACTTGAGTGGTCAGTTGGCATGCATTCACTTCATTTCTATATTATATTTCAAAGGAGACTACTTTCGGCCGTAAGGTTCTTTGTTGAAATATTTTAGCCTATGTTCAAAAAATCAAGTGAATTTTAAAAATGCAAAACCTAACGTCATCAGTCATCTCGAATTCTATTTTATATTGGGTTGCTGCATATTTTGAGCCTAGTTGCAAGGGTATGTCCTTCCATTAAATGCACCACAAACATTAGTAACTTTGGCACCATCAGTTTTTAAATTGCAAGCGATTTAAGTGGTCAGTTAGTATAGTTTTGATTCATTTTCATCTAATCTAACGAATGAGATAATTTGTATGATTTAATTTGTACAGTTGGTATGATTTTCAGCCATAGTTCACATTTCAGCCATATGATTTCACTTCATTATTGTCTTATCCGTCTAACGTCACTTCTTTCTGCCGTAAGGTTTTTCGTTGAATCATTTCAACCCAAATTAAAAATTTGAGTGAGTTTTAAAATTACAACTTACGTCGTCAGTCATATCAAAATCTATTTTAGATTGGTTCGCTGTATATTTTGAGCCCAGATCCAAGCTTAAGCCTTTTAGTTAAATGCACTGCACAAATTAGTGACTTTGGCACCCGCCATTTTCTCATTAAATGAAATGTCATATTTCGCCACTTTGATTTAAATTTTCTTATATAAACCAACAGCTTTCAAGCGACTGACTGGAGTTGTGTATTCAGCCAAAGATTATCTATAATTTAAAATGGTTTTTAGCTGCAAGTCCTTCCTTTAAATGAAACCGGCGGTAGCTCCTAGTCTATTATTGAATATAATGAAAATAAACAAAAATCAACTAATTTATATCATGAATAATAACCAAAGAGATTGGTTTTAATATTTCATTGCAGAAAAAAACAAGGATAATATAAGAACTCCAAAAAATACAAGAAAAAAATCATAGATACAATCGAGAAGTAAAGAACAATAAGCTAGAAAGGAAAGAATTTCAGTAGAAATACTAAAATATAGTTGGCAGAGATAACTAAAAATACATCTAAACATTATTTGATAAACCAAAAAAACACATTGTTGGAATGAAAAAAAAATGATTGCAAAAACTTATTTTGTCCAAGAAACAAACTTCATTTGATTAAAGGGTTGACAGTATTGTATTCAACAATAATTTATGAGCGATCATAATGAAAGTTAAGCAGAATGACTTTGGCTTGCAATCCTAATGACAATTCATTATTTATTTTTTTCTTTCTATGTTTGCCAAGTAACCTGCCACTTTCTTCTAGGACTGCACAGAAGAACTTATGTTTGTATTTTACTCCTCTGGTTAAGTACAAAAAAATTAAATAGAATAGAAGAATGCCAATAATGAAAGATTTTTTTTTCTTTAGATTCAAATTTCTAAGAGAATAATACCAAAAGGTAATACCTGGATATATACATTCATCATCTGAGCCTGTGTCCACATTTTTATGATGAGATGTTAAGGAACCTCTTTTGTCTTCAACAGCAGTAATTCCACATTCAACTCTATCTAGTTCACAATCCAACAAAAATGTACGAAATCTGCATGAAACTGATTGATAAGCAAGCACACGAAGATAATAATCATTAAATTCAAAAGCCAGAGGAAATTGTTGCTGAACCTAAAAACAAAACAAAATGTCCATCAGTATTAAATTATTTTTCATTCAAAGCCAAATTATTTGTTTGATAAAAAGTAAAGTTAATAAACATACACATGAACTAACCAAAACATTACCTGATGCACCAGATCTAAAAACTGAAGAAATATAGGAGTAAATGTTGATGTTTGAGAATTCGGTGAAATTCCATTACGAAGACTGAACCTATGGCCGAATGCTAGCCATTCTTTCTCAATAAGAACTCTAAACCCAACCATAGTTCTATAATAAGGATCTAAACATAGTTGTGCCACTGATGATATCTGAAAATTTTTAAATTAATATGAGGATGAAAGCATTAAAAAGATAACTTATGTACATAGTTTTTAATAATACTAAATAAAAAAAAAAAATTGATAATATACTAGCAGAGATGTAATTATATAATAATAATTATTGGCAAATACTAAAAATTAGGCACATAAGTTAATTTTAATTGTTTTCCCTTCCCTTCTGGCTTTAAAGACCATTACTAGATTTTTATTTATTTTAACCTAATTGTAATGTATATTAGTTTTAGGTTTTCGCTTAATGATTTGATGAATGTTCCTCTTTAGTACCTTTGTTAATTTTTTTCATCAATGAAGAAGAATATTTTGTGAATTTGAATAAAGGCGTTTCCACATGTTCAGCATATTTCAGTATCAGCATTGTCAGTGACCTCCTCCAGGGCTATTCCAAATTCATTTCCCATGATTTATTGAGTTTCAATTTTTTGAAAAAAAAAAATTCAGATTTTTGTTTGCACAATGAATGATGAACAATTAATGGAATGCATCAGGAAATTTTGAAGGGTCTATCCAATCCTAAATAAATGCATAGTTAATTTAAAAATTAAATCTGGTGCACATTGTTTATGCAAATGAAAATTGAGTATTAATTTACTAGTGTCCTCTCTGGATCATGAGTGGGCCAAGATCACATAAAAGTGTACATAGAATGCCAAAAGTAGCCAAGGCTGCCTGAAAGCACCAATTCTCAGATTGAGGCATGAAAAGCTGTTATTCAATCTGTGTGTTAACATCAGAAGCTTGCTCCTCTTTAATTTGTGCTTACTCTGTAGTGTTGTGCTCTTTGTTGTCTACAATATCTAACAGCTAAGCTTAGAAAAAAATAATTGATCAGTATGTTGCAGTTCCACAATTGTGAAAAGTAAAATCAAATGTCAACACAAATAAAAGTTAAAAGGACGGGAAGAAATATTTTTAAAAATTCAAAGAGGTTGAATATAATGCCTTGACACATTAAAAAAAGAAGAGCAAATATGAGAACATGCTACTATTGGAAAAAAAATAAATTGAAAAGTCTGGAATAAGGAATGGAGATCTATACAGTGTCCCAGCAGGAAATCTCAGTAATTAAGGGAGTGATAGTTTACTAAAAATGTGGAGGGATAGTCAGCACGCCACCTTACAATCTGAAACGTTTAAAGGATTTTCCAAGAAAACAAAATTTTCCAAAAAAAAAAAATCCCAATTCCCTGATGCAACTGAACATTTTCTAATGTTTGATCCACATTTTTGGTACCTATGATGAATTTCCTATAAGGTAGCAACCAATTTGCAGAAAAATATTACTTATTTGGGCAATCAAACCAGCTAAAGCAATGAAAGCAAGAAAAAAATTAATCATTTTCAGAAATACTTGTTGGAGTCTCATGCAATGAGTTTTCAAGCAAGGGTTTTGAGGATTTCCAAAAAGTTTAATGTCTATTAGTCTTCTACAACAGTAAAGCTGACAATCAACCTCAATATCAAAAATATCTAAAAAGCTACAATAAATCATACTTAAGCTTGGACTCTTAAAATGGAGAGCATTATGTACCCTCAATAACCTAACAATCCTCAACATTGAAGATGTTCAAAAATTTATAATAAATCGAGACCTGAGAGGAAATGGTTAAGTCAAGAGTGATTTTATAAAAAGAGCCCTCGATAACCTAATATTGAGGATATCATAAAATTTATAACAAATTAATACCTAAGCTCAAAATCAGTAAAATTGTTAGTATGTTCATATCATAAACAGTATCCTTGATAACCCAATAATGGACATTAATATCGAAGAAATCCATAAAAAAAACTTATATTTATACTCTTCTTCTTTTTCTTTATTTTCCACACCTACCATTTCTAGCATCCAGGAGCCACTATCCAGCGCAATACACATGTATTTTGGCTTTCTTATCCATTTCTTGGCGGACGAGGATACTGTTAAGTGATCTGGTAGTATGTCTGATTTGCAGTGAATATTCTGTTCAAAATTTCAGCATCTCTCTAACCAGAATTACTAATTATAGTTCCTAAATAAGTGTGTTTCTTCCCCACCTCAAGAACCTCCCCACTGCAGACCAATTGGACATCTTCCTCTTCTTCTCTCCTCATAATCAGCACTTTATTCTTGGAGGCATTGATTGGTATACCTCTCCTCAACAGCTCAACTTCCTGTCCCACGGGTGCTTGCTGTAGTTAGTTTCATCTTTGGGTCGGCTATGAGGACAATGCCGTTCGTATACAAAAGGCTCTGAACGAGTATGGTTCATATTCCAGTTTCCAATTGCAGACCAGGCAGTCCAGTGCTTGCAGATTTTATGAATCTCATTCATAAAATTTATAAACAGGAGGGGGCTTAAACTATCTTCCTGTCTAACTCCTCTTGCAATAGGGAAAGGTTCCGATTATGTGCCGTTTATCCTTACCAATCCAGTGGCTCCTTGGTAGGTTGATTTCACAGGCTTAATCAAATCTCCAGGCACATCCTTGGCATTGTGTAAGCCCTTGATTGTGCATAAGTTGTTTATTTAGTGTTGAATGAAGTGGTTGGTAATTTTCAACAATTTTATGCACAATATAGACTCTAGTTTTCTTGTACTTAATTTAGTAATAATATATCAATAGTTTAAGTGTATTTAAATTATCAATTATTTATTGATAACAAATTATTAACTAAAAAAAACACACATAAACTGATTTTTTTCACTAAGGGTATGAATATGAGAACAACAAAATATTAATTGACCCTGGTTCATCTGTTGCGTCAAAATAATTTACAGACTTTTGAATCTTCTAAATGTATATATATTTCTGAGTGAAAATTAAAAAATCATAAGATTTTAACCAACTATTTTATAATTAAATACATCATCAATGTAGAAGAAAAAAAAACATAAAAAAGTTACGAACTTGGCATGTAATATCCCATCCATCTTCCAAACATAACATAACTGAAGAACCTTGAACATCTAACAGATCCACAACAGCCCCAGACAGCTGCAACAAGTTTTTCAAGTGTTGCAACCATTCTGAACTTTCCACTAACCTAAATAAAAAACAAAAAAAGTTATCACTATTTTATAGCATACCTGATAAACTGAGAAAAACAAATTCTGTTAATATTATTAATATTGAATACTAAAACAAATGTTTACAGAACTTCTTAGAGGATAAAAAGGAAAAGGCTGTGATTTCCGAAAATAGGATTTCAGTTTTAAGGGAATATGTTGTTATCATATATAGAGGAGAATGTTGCTACCTCATTTTACTAGATTATTAAAAGGTATTGAAACTGAAGCATGGAAAATTAAGGGTATGAGCTATCTAGGTAAAAGCTGTGCTGAAAGAGTGATAAGAATTTGTTACAGTGATTTTGTCACCAATAGGAACAAACTGTGAATAACAAAAAAAGGCAAATAAGATTGCCAAATTCCTTATTTCAGCATATTCCTTTCATTTACTTTAGTCTTTAACATTTATTTAATTCTTCCAAGCATCTTTCTTTGGAGCAAATGGTACTGTTATTTCATCATTCCATCAAACTGCTTTATTTATGACCTCTGTTATCTATGTTTCTATGATCTCTCCACATAAACTCTTGGCTATTATTATGCTGTTATTTAAGTGGTTATCGAGAAGGTATTGGTCAACATTTGATCCCAAAAATCTGTCTCAGTGAAATTTTCTACGGCTTGTTTTCCCATTATTTCGGCCATTGCCTGAATTACTATTAGCCCCACAAGGTAGTTTTTTTCTCCATCAAAGCACTATTTGGGGTTAAATCAGTACCTGATAAAAGTTTGAAAATGTCTGGTTTGTTCTATGTCATAAAGTGCATCTCATTATCCTCATTATCCACCGTTTGGGAAATTGATCTAGTGGCTGGTAGTTGGCAGATATGCATTTTTATGCTTTACAATTTATAAAGTTTTAAATTATGTGTTTTATTAAGTGCAAAATAAGTCAATTTCGAGAGCCAATATCATATATCAGATCCAGTAGCAGGCATCTATATTTGTTACATAGCACCTATTTTGTGATGGTAAAATCTTCGGCTAGTGTAAATAAGTTAGTGTTACCAAAAACAGTTGGAAATCAAAGTTAAAAACATTTTAAAGTTTTTATGGTTGATTTTTAATAAAATACTGGGCCAAATTTATAATGTCAGTTAACCATTTGACTCAGACTTTGATGTATTTAATTCTTAAATTAATAAGTTTTAGAAAACAGTTTTAGAATGATAAATCAATGGGTAGAAAAATTTCTATTTTTATTTGCCCATTATTTGTAATCACCCAGAGTCATGTCAGCTGATGTCTATTTTTTTTTAAACTCTTCTCTCAGGACATAGATCTGAAATAGGTGAAACTAATTAGAGGTCTTTAAAGTCAGTGGGTCACCGATTTCAACCTAATATTTTTTGGTGATACATAAAAAAAGATTGGAATGTGTTAAGGCGTTCTTTCTGATGGGGCCTAGGAGCCGAGAAAAAAAAATTACATATTTTCATATATAATAAATATACGACTATGGTATTAAATGAGTTATAATGTATCATAATTACAAAAACCAAAAGGTGCTTACAGTAAAGTAGACCAAGTACATTTTTGTTATGAAAAAGCAAGTTCGATATGTTTTTAATGCTTTTCCAACTCATATTTTCCAATGCTTTTAAAAATTTAAGATTGTATTACTTTTTAAGCTATAAATTCAGAAAAACTTCTCAAACATTGGAACAAATGTCGGGACATGTGTCTAATATTTTGAGATGTAGTATCACCAAAAAAAAATTGGTTGAAATTGGTGGACCACTGACTGTAAAGTCCCCTTGTTAGTATATAAAAAAGTCATACTTTTCTACATGGATAGGATGGAAAGATCAAGCAAAGGGTCTAAGTGTGGGTAGGAATCAAGATAGATAATCTAAATAAGTTATTTCCCCTCCCCACACACAAAAAATACATAAATAAAAAATTAGGGATAAGGTTGTTTTACTTTAAGCCTACCTGTTAATCTGTCAACCCAGATTTTAAAAGAGTGACTAAATAATATTATCTAGAAACTACAAAATGATACCAACTTGTAAAATGATTGCTCAGTTTCTGTTGGAGCACTGCTTGGTATACATGCTTTCATTAATTTCTTGAAAGCCGCTTTTGTGGCACGAACATCAGCATATTCCACTGGTATAAATTCAGCTTTAATACCATCAACTTTAAATCCCTAAAAAAATAAACCATAAACTTTTTTTGTTTTAAAAACAAGTTCCTTACTATTACTGCTGCTAAATTTAAAATTAAATAACCTAAGTACACTAAAAACAACAATATTTTTTTAAATCTTCCACAACTTTCACATACTATTACACTTTCAGTAGAAGCTGACCACCCATTCTAAATTTCTTTTTTTTAATTCTTGGATTTCTGATACCGCCCTATATATTCTAGAGTTTCCTATATTTTTTATAAATAATTCTATAGCTTAAACTGCTGAAATTACAGCGTTAAGTTACTGGAAATTAATTCCACATTAATCCAAAATTATTTTTAACCAAAATTGGGGTCTAACTTTTTCAAAAATAGAAGGGGCGAACATTTTCTTCAGAAATTGATGACCCTGATTGGAGTTCCGCTGGCACCACATACAGTGCTATCTATAATCAAAAGGATATCAAAGAGGTATTAAGGGGGATCCCAATTTCCATCAAATTTGTTTCTGAATTTTGACAGTTCTGTTGAGTACTAAAATTATTATAATGAACCATAGTCCTAAATTTTTCATAAAAATGATATAACGCTTGCAAGTAGCAATAACTTTTTTGTTTTGGATCCTAGCTTAAAATATCCTTATGATTATCAACAGCAGTTAGTGGAGAGGGGGAGGGAGAGCCAACAGAATTCCAATCAAAATCGTTAATTGCTAATAAAAATTTTCAGCCCTTTGGACTTTGAAAAGTTCAATCTCAATTTCGGTTAAATTTTTTTAGGATTTCAACAGTTCTGATGGCCCCCCAAAGAGTTCTAAAAATCATAATGAACCATAGTCCTTAAGTATCCTTATAAAGAATCATTATTAAGTTTCCAACATGTAAAAAGTACCAGATCATCTACATTACAGTTACTAGGTTAGACTGATATATTAAAATAAATTGACTTTAAAAAGTATTTCATTTGAGTTCTACCAATGGGTAGTTTCTCTTCATGTTGTACACGCCATGTTACAAATTTCTCATTTACTTATTGTATTCTCTATGTAATACAGTTGTAAATTCCATTAAAATAATAAAAAAAAAAAGTATTTCAATCTTTAAAATCATCAACATTCGGAATAGAGTGAACTGTATATTAAAAGGGGAATTTTACACTGGTTCATGAAAATGAGAAATTTGATATTGGCAAATTTATCGAAAGGGGGACAAATATTATAACTGTTTGTCTTACTGACTGTTTGCAAGGTTATCTCATACCTTAACTGCATTTATGGGAAAGATAAGGATGGAGATAAAGGAAAAGAATGAAATTTCTGCAGAAGATGTTATGATGAGATGTGAATGTATTGGAGGCTGGAGAAGTGTGTCCTCCTCTGAGGAGAAAATCAAAAATCAGACAGGCTAGAGAAGTGGAGGGAAGAAAACATCTAAAACGGCAGGAAGTTTGATTTGAATTCCCAACAATCACAAAGCTTAATAATTTATTTGATATTGTCCTTTCAAATGCTGCAGTAATTAGAAACATCTACCAATGTCTCACTTATAATTTTAGCACTTTATGTAAAAACTATTAAAATATTTACTTACTTTATAATGAGTTTTATCTGATAATATATACAACGGAGCAGTATGAAGGGTATGAACACAATCACTTCCAGAATCAGAATCACCAGAGGGGCGAGGACCACTATCTTTCACAGAACCCCATCTTCCACGGGACAAGCCACCTTTAACTGTCCCACTGAAATTAAAATGATTCTTCCATTAATTTATTACAAACAAAAGTTATTGAAAATCATTAAATAGATTTATGTAAAAAAATAAATCTGCTGGCCTGGCAAACAAGTCATTTTGGTTTTTCAGGGTGAAATAAAACTCGATATATTATAGACATAAAATTTATTTTAATCAACAATATATTGACCATTATTTAATATGAATATTTCCCATCTTTCCACTAACTGCATAATGCCATGTTGATAGAATGTCTGTAGTTTATTATTAAAAAACTGATTCAAGTGATTTTTGATGTCCTCTTCCTTTTGGAATTTCTTTCCATTCATGGAGTTCTGCAGAAACCGGAATAAGCGGTAGTCACTTGTAGCTGGGTCTGGTGAATAGGGAGGGAGGGGCTTAGCGTTGTCGTGCCTAACGTCAGAAAATAACACCCTTGAAATCCCACCAAATGGAAAGCATTATCTTCTTTGGATGTAATCCAGGTTGTGACATTCTTTTAGGAACCTCACTACTAGGTTCCCAAGATTTTCTATGGACTACATTATTGTAAAATGGACTATAAAATCATAAAAATGGATTTTTCATCTCCTATTACCAACCTTTAACAAAATGGGTCGTTTTGTTGCCATTTCCGTAGCAGATCACAAACAGAAATGCATGTTGCCAAGTTGACTTCAGTTAGAGAATGAGGGATCCAAACATTAAGCTTGGAAACATAGCTGAGCTTGTACAAATGGTTTTCTACGCTTGGGTGCGGCACAATAGCAATCTCTCGCACTGATTGGGTGGGATTTTGATCAACAATGGCCTTAACATTCCTCATTTCAATTTTATGTGGGCGACCTGACCGTAGAGCATCATTGATGTCAAAATTTCCTGAATGAAATTTGGCAAACCAATTTTGACAGATGTGTTCAGTTAAGGCATCATTTCCATAAACACTGCAAATTTTTCTAAGAACTTCTGCAGCATACTTACCTTTTTAAAAATGATACAACAAAATATGCAGATAATGAATGATTTTTACTGCCTTATTCACAGTGCAATAGCAAACACAATACTAAGCTAGTTTCAACAAGAGTTAACAGATATAGTTGTTGACATATTACAAACAGGATAAACAATCCACCTTAGAGATTAATTCATCAGATAAGAAGTGTATCATAGTGACATAAAAATAAACAGAAAAACCGAAAGGATTTATTTGCCAACCCAACCAATACATGGAGATTGCGAAAAGGTGTTGGCTTACTCTTCACGCACCCTTACCGCATGCAAAGAAACTTTACCGTTGCAGAAAAAGAATGCCTTGCTGTTCCCTGAGGAATTAAGAAATATAGGCAATATCTGGAAGGCTATCGTTTTAAAGTGGTAACCGATCACGCTAGCCTTAAGTGGCTTTTGAATCTTAAGGATACTGTGTGTCGTTTGGCTTGTTGGTCTCTCCAACTTAAAAATTTTGATTTTCAATAAGAGTACCATAAAGGCAGTTCAAATGTTGTGGCTGATTCTCTTTCTCCAATTCCCAAAACTGAGGCTGTAGCAGGTGTAGTAAATACTGAATTATGTGGTAAAGATTTATGGTATGAGAACAAACTGAGAAAAGTAGCACCGCAACCAAGTGCTCATCATGATTGCAGTATCAGGGATGGACAGTTATATAATCGTACGATAGAAAATTAATGAATGAAAATTATTTTATTATTCTGGCACTAGTGTCGCTTTAGAATAAGTTACAAACAAAGAATATATATTAATATTCTGATGTGTCCATAAAATACAATTAAATATTTACAGGATGATTAGGTATACAATAAAATTATAGATAATAAAAGATATGAAAATGTGTATAAATATAAAATAAACAGATTAAGTAAACAAAATATCAATGAATCACAAAATCATCAAAGTATCTGGGTGTACTTTAAGATTCTTACAGCTTAGGTTTTTAAGTGCATTTCGTGATCAATCGGATTGGAGTAGGTGTTTGAAGAGGAGAGATTTGAAAGAGGATAAAACCAGACTGGAAGCAGTTCAAATGGTTATTTTGTTTGAGATATTGTACTATTCGTTCTAAAGGTTTGGAAAGGTTAGATAACAGGGAAATTGGACGGAAATCATTAGGGGTTTAGATTTTGTTCAGTGGACAAACAAGGGTGGTTTTTCAGGTGCTGGAAAAATGGATGGAAGTGAGGATTTAATTAATTTAACTGGAATATTATGTGGTCCGAAATCTTTGGTTTGGGATTTACAAATGGATTTAAGGAGGTCGTCAGAGGTAATATGTCAAAAGAAAAAATGATTGGGATTAAAGGGGGGATGTATAAGGGGTGGAGATGGTGCTTGGACAGAGGGATAGGATAAACAGGAGACAAAATGAGTCTTGAGTATGTCAGCTGAAATAGAGGTAGTCTTGGTTTGCCAAAGAATAATTTAATAATAATAATAATAATAATAATAATAATAATAATGTACTGAGTACAGTACACCACCTACAGATACACACACAACCGTCCACTAAATCATTTACACTGACACTAAGGACACAGACAGTACACACCCTAGGGCTACCTCCCCTAGGATGACCTGGCAGCAGGTATAAAATGCATCTACCCATCAAAATGGTGCGAACTAGGAAACAAATAGCCTCGGACGAATCCGAAGTAAGGGCTGCTTCGGAGGGATTGGATAATCAGCCTTCGACATCTGCAGGTGGTGCGAGCGGTGCCTCGGTGTCGTATGTTCCCGTAAGACCGGCTGCCATAGGACTTTCATCATTAAACTCTGAACCGTGCTTGGATACCATTGAGTCTCCCGCGCGAGGAAGAGGAATCATTGGCCAAATAGGTAGGCAACGAAGGATGAAGTGGGACCGCAATATGAATATTGCTGCTATCCGAGCTTACTTATTGGCTACAAACTTAAAGAAAGAAAAAACAGGATATCGCAAAAGAATCAATCGTCACTGGAATGAAAAATATCCGCAAATAGCTGTATCATCTCAAAGACTCGCTGACCAGGTCAAGCAAATATTAGAACGCCAGTTTTTATCCGAATCGGAAATTAATGCAATCAGAACAGAAGCAGGTAATATACTTGCCCGAAACTCACAGATAGAAATACAACAAGTAGAAGAGGCAGAATTCTCGGCGATTATGCAATTGGAAACGACTTCTGTGAATACCCAAGAAGCGTCACACATCATAGAGATGCATAATATCCTATTAAGAGAACACATAATGTATGAAGGAATACCTTTGGACAGTAGACCCTCTATACCAAAGGTACCATATTCCAAAAGAACTTTATCCGCTGTCAACACCGTCAACGAGATACTTGCTGAGCATATGTCGATGGGTATAACTCTAGAAGAGATATGTCATTGGATATACGTAGGGGCCCGAACTGTCTCGATGGAGCTAGGTTTGATAAAAGATAAGGTGAATTGTAATAAAACTAATGATTGCAAAGATCTTCCCTGGAAGAGAAGAATTAAAAAAAAGATCGAAAATATACGGTGTAAAATCGGAATTATTACTAATTACCTTCGGAACCCAGAAAATGCTTCTTTAAAACTAAAGAAAAAAATTGATGAAATTATTGTATTAAATATTGGAGGAGTAGTAAGAAGTGAGTTAAATAAAAAAGTTGGTGTTTATATGGAAACGCTCAAGCAGAAATTAGCAGTGTTAGCAAATAGAATTAGGAGGTATACAGAAGCTCATGATCGAAGGAGACAAAATTCAATATTTAATAAAAGAGAACAATATTTTTATAAATCTTTAAAACCTAAAAAGGAAAATAATAACGATGTCTATCCAGATCCTATTGAAATATCAGAGTATTGGAAAGGTATTTGGGAAAGTAAAAAATGTTTTAACAATGAAGCAAATTGGTTGGAAAATATTCGCCATGGCTTATCAGATCTCCAACCTATGGAAGCAACCAGTATCACTGTGGAAGATGTGACTAAGGCACTCAAGCAAATGAAAAACTGGAAAGCTTCTGGTCCAGATAAAATACAAAATTACTGGCTAAAGTCCTTTAGCAGTGTTCATAGCCACCTAGCTGTGTGGTATCAGAAACTATTGTCTGAAGAGATTGACTTACCAGCGAAGTTCTGTACCGGTACGACTCACTTAATAAAGAAAGGAAGCAAAAACAGGCTGGAGCCACAGGATTTGAGACCCATAACTTGTCTTAATGGTGTGTACAAATTACTAACGGCTGTAATCAGGAATAAGTTGACAGATTACATTGAGGAAAAGGGTATTATGGCAGCGGAACAGTTAGGTATTAAGGCAGGTTCAAAAGGTTGCAAAGAACTTCTGATTATCGATTCTTTTATTGCTGCTCAAGTTACAAAAAAATCTCGTAATATTACATTGTCTTGGATCGACTACCGTAAAGCCTTTGATTCGGTTCCCCATGATTGGCTTCTGGAAGTGTTGAAAATTTATAAAGTAAACCAGGCAATAATAGATCTATTAGAACGACTGATGAAAATTTGGAGGGTCTCAATCAGCACACCAACTTTGAATGGAATGAGTTCCAATGAATACATATCTATAAAGAGAGGTATTTTTCAAAGAGACTCCCTTAGTCCTCTATGGTTTTGTTTGGCGCTTAATCCACTTAGCAAATTATTGGCTGATACAGATAAAGGGTACCTACTTAACTCTGAAATGAAGCTTTCTCATTCATTCTATATGGATGACCTCAAGCTTTACACTAGGAACGAAGACGAAATAGAAGCTCTTCTGAAGACAGTAAGAACGTTCAGTAATGATATAAAAATGGATCTAGGAATAGATAAATGTGCAATAGTACGTGAAAAGAGGAAGAGTTATTAAGAGGAGTAATATTGAGATATCGGAAAATGTAATAATGAATCAATTGAGAGAATCTGATTCTTACAAGTACCTTGGAGTACACCAACTTCTGAAATTCAATGCTAATTCAAAGAAATACTTTGAGGAAGAATTTAAATACAGTGTTAAATTA